TGTGCTATTAAAACCGGTGTACTCTTAGAATGAGGTCAAAGTGGCAAAGTCCTACCTGAAAAAGAAAAACAAGCATAAGGAAGTCTCTCTTGGGCTTGTTCTGAGGAATTTTGAGAAATAATGCTTCCAAATCTGTATCTTGTTTGATTAATGTAGAATTTCGTTGAACGATTGTACGTTCTTCTCAAACCTGTGGTAGTCAAAGCTTGTTTGAAGAGGAACCTTCTCTACAATTTGAACTGCAGAAAGAATCCTGTGCATTTCACTGCAAACCAGCTAATTCCTGAGAGCCTTTCTTGTGTGTGCAGTAGAAGTTAGATGATTTGGCTTTGATCCTTTTATATTATGGATTGAGTATATGCCAGCTTTTCTTTAACTCTTAGCGGAAAGGGATCTTCAACTAAAGAAGATGATCTTTATATATATCTTTATATAAGACCTTTTATATAATTTATGGTTACAAATAGATATAGTATATACAGATTATCATATATATCTCTTTTAAAATGTATGTATTAAAAAGGTTACCTTTCCCTGTGATGTTTGTTTTTTACCGTATTTTTTGGGGAAACTTGCTTAGTATCAGCAGCTAACCATGATGCTAGGCATATGAATTGATGGGTATAATGGAGATGAAGCACAGTTTTGAAGCTAAATTAACTGTTTCTTCATTAGTAAACCACATTCTCTCTTGTCTTAAAAGCAGAAAACACGTGTTCTGAGCTTCACTTGGCTTACAGAAGGGGTGATTTTTCATTTGCTTTTCTTTGCCAGACATGAAAAAACATTCAGTGTAGCATTGTAGCCGAATTTGTTGTTTGTTTGAAGTGGCTTTGTTGTTTAAATTATTTTCTCATAATATTTGCCTTAACATAGGTTCAGTCACTTCTCTGCCAGCTAGTGGAAGCCTTAGAGCCAGGGCTGAAATAAGCAAGTGACTTTGCTAAAGAGCTGGTCTATGTGCTTCTGGAGTTGCTGATACTAAAGGGGGCAGGTTTATTGTACTTAGAGGGTGATTTAGGTGTTTGGAGTATTAGGAAACGATTTAAGTTTAATTAACAAAATAATAATTGACAGTTCACATACATGAGTGCTGATGAGACATCCTGGTATAACTAGGCTGGTATAAAACCATTGTATCAGAGGTAGACTGTTGCATGATTCTGATCTGTTTTCTTGACAGATGATAGGGGTTTGGGAGAGTAACATGATTCTAAGACACACCAGCAGGTTTCTAGATTGTTAGGACCAGCCAAGAAAGCATTGGTTGATGCACATTTAGGATGGTACATAGCTCTGATCACAGACACACTCAGAAAAGATGGAGTCATTTGGAAACGAAAGGACTGTTAGTGTGATTATGCTGAAGCTGAACTTGCCTTTTTAAAGGAGAATGGAAGAACTCCACAAGTAAAGCCTACGAAGAAGTAAGAATAGTCTTTATTGGGTGTGAGTGCATATATGGGAGAGAAGCAACTGAAAATAAATACATCCTAGGGGTAAACTTAGTAACACATCTTGTTTGAAAATCAAAGGGTGAGGTCTAGTTTTGCAACATCAGTAATGGAGGGAGAAACTCGGTGGTTTGGGATAATGCTTTATATATTTATGGAAAAAGACTATGTAAGATTATAAGGTTGATTGTGGAATCAGAAATTAAAAATGAGACATATAAAAATAAAGCATATGAGATTTCTCAGTGATGGAATGACAGAAATCTCTGAGACAGGGGATAAAGCAGCCAAGAAAACATTTGATTGTTGTTTTTCATAAAGTTTCCAATTTTACAAGTTCTGTTCTTCATGACTGTCCCGTGTACTATGTAGAGATCAGAAGGGAATCTTTTATTTACTTATTTTATCTTCTTGGTGCATAGTTTATCTTTGGATGCAGAGGCGATTTGCCGTTGACTAAAGGCGGGATTTTGAGCGAGGTGTCTGATTCTTCCTGTGGCATTGGGAAGGTAAACCTGTGCTGCCATATAGGTCTAGCGTCTGCACAAAGTGAAATCAGTTTGCCCCAGTGAGATGGGGAAGTGTGTCATATCCTCCAACTGTATTCCTGAGGTTATGTAGGCCTATTCATCTTACTCTTCTGTAGTTGCAGGCACTTACAGTGTGGCTGGCACCCTTGAATTCTGTTCTCTTGCTGTCGTACAGTCAACTTTTGCATCTTTTTAAAACTCAAATGACAGTGGAAGTGTTAATGAAATGTATTTGGACTTTGTTTTGAATGGGTTCTTGTAATGGAGGAGACCGGATTAAACACTCCAGGTGATATCGAGCCCTTTATAAGGATATATTTTTAATAAATAGATTAATTTTTCTAAAAATACAAGGTCATGACTAGTCCCATGTACATGCAGCATTTCAGTGTCAGGATTTGGCATATAACTAAAATTTCCTATCTGCAAAGTTACTTCATGACCTTCATCTCCAAAAAGAGCACTGCAGTAGGGGCAGACTTACCTGGAAGGCACCACTGTCTAGTTAGTAATATTTGTAAATACTGTTGAGGTGCCTGAAAAACAAAGGCAAAGATTTTTTTTAATAGTTGTGTTTTTAAATAGAATTCCATTTTCAGGGATATGTTAACAATATTAGGCTGGAGAATTGCAAGCTTTTTTGTCAGTTGAATGACTTGGAGTAGGTTGATTTTATAGACAGTCACTTTACATTAGTTGTGATCTTAAAGGGCTTTGTTTTTTTCCTCTTAGTAATAGGTGTAGGGATGGAAGAGAAAAATTACTGGTTGCCTGCATCTTGACTTCAGTACAGAATTTGTACCTTCTTTGTGAGTTACTCTGAACAGACTATGGAAAACATTCTAAAACCAGCATATAGTTGGTTGCAAAACAGCCAGCTGGCTGTTGTCATGCAACATTCATTGTCATACAGGTAGCATCTGTTAAGTGGAACTTCAAATGACTTGGCCAGGCTTGGCTGGACTGTTTTATGTTAAACTAACTCAGTATACTTCATTGTTTGCAATGATTATTGTTTTTGTTAATCATATGTGTTGTGGAGGAATTTTCCTGGAGCAGAGGTAGAAACTACATTGGAGCTCTGTTTATTTCCTCCTCTACTTTGTCAATGACTGTTAAGTAGCTGCTTCACTCTGATGCTGTGTTAGTGTGGGGACAAAAGACCCAAATTATCATGCTTTCTTTCTATTGTTCTGTGTGTTTTCATATATTTTAGGTTAACTAAGTGTGGAATTTTGGGGAACTTTTTGTAGGGCAGGGTGAATTGCCCTGTCTGGTAGGACTCTGGCCTTTTGGTACTGCCTGTAATGCTGTTGCCTCAGGCTAAATCAACTTGTAAATTTAGTAGTAGTTCTTTTCATTGCATGAAATATAAGCATGTCCACGTCATGTTTACTGTGAGCCAACCTGTCTAAAACTATTTTTCCATACGTATGGCTCACATAATATGCTCTTTTCTACCTGTGATTGGGGTTGCAAATATGAACTTGTAAGATGATAGAGCATAATGTTTCACATGAAAAGTACACATCATTCCAGACTGTGCTTTAATAGGTTCACTGTAGGCCTATCTCTTGGAAAAGGTGGGCTCCATGTTCAGTTTTGCTTGGCTCCCTGACTCCCCTTCAGCTGGTACTTTCATCTCCTCATTTCTGTGAAATGGGTAGTGTAATGGATTTGATGACAGGTACAATAAAATAACTGGTTTAGAGTTTTTGAACAGCTAAAACTTTGTTGTTACTTTTTATACATGGGGTAACAGTGCTGTATTTTTTCTGTTTTGTTTGGATTTCTGAAATCCTTTATCACAGGAAAGGCTATAGCCTTTTTATTGAGTGCTGCCTTAGCTGATGTATAACCAAGCTATCAATCTCAAATGGAATTGAAAACAGGCTATCTCACTCTTTCCTCCAGGCATTCCATTTTTGGAAGTTCATGGGCTCTGACCTTGTAGGTGCTGATTAGTTTGAATAATTTATGACATGAAAAAGAAAATAAAAAATCCAGTCTTTTTTATTTTTTTTGTCACTTCTGCTGCTTTTGAGATTTTTAGAGTTGCCAGTTCGCCTTGTTCATTTCACAGTGCAGCTGCTGAAGCTTCGCTTGTGGCAGAACTCTTATTGCAGTAAAAGACAATTATCTGACGCATTTATCATTTTCTCTTCACTCCCATTCCTGGTACTATTGTTGCTTTAATTCGTTTCATATTTATTTTCCTTCCCCAGTTTTATCCCTTTCCTTGAAGTCAGGTTCACAAATTAGCTTTTTCAACATCCAATTTATTGCTGTTGCAGAGTCTGATAGGTGCAGCTTTGATTGCTTTTCTGTTATATGGCCAAGAATGAGCGCTTAGTTCAGTGGCATGCAGCCATTCTGAATTAGTGAGACCACTGTTATAAAATGATGTAGTAACTCCATGCCATGATAACCCAAAAGTAAGATTTTGTTTAAAACTACCTGCTGCGTTATGGTCTACTAAGTTTGTTGTGTGTAAACATAAACAAGTGGTACAAAACAACATTTGGTTACATCTGTTTTAAAGGCAGAGCCTATTCTTTTCCATGTGGCAACTATTTCAGTTTGAGGAATTTACTGTTTTAATTTTGGGCATCTGGTTTTAGGATCTTATTTTTCTCAGTGTTTTTTTTTTGCCCTAAAGCCTGGCTATATATATCCCAAGAATGAATCCACTGCTTTTCCCCCCTCTTGCTTTCTTAATTTCTTTCACAGATGCCTTGGGGGTCTATACTTAACCTTTGTTGGGCTTTTTTTGGCAATGAAGCAAACAGTTTCTGGGTTTTTTGGACCTCAGTATAAATAGAGGTTGTTTATATGTATCAATTTCTGCTTTCATAAGAGTTTTGCTGCAAGTTATCTAATCATAAATGATAAAAGTCTTCTCTTTTTATGAGTGCTTGCATGCATCTCTTAAAAGCTGCATGTAATTGTCAAAGGATGAAAAAACTGATAAAAGTAAAAACGGATAAAAACTAATGATCCTCTTTTCTACTTTCAGAGAATTACCTAGGCTTCAAAATGAAAGTGAGGAAGAAGAGTCCCCCAGAGCATTAATTTGAACAATAACTATTGCTGGTAAGTAAGTACTTCTGTTCCTTTGTGATGTTGCCTCCACTTGGACAAAAACTAGATGTGTGCAAACTAGATGAAGACCTGTGCTACTTAAACAGCAACTGAAAACTGCCCTTCTGTTGATAAATCCTTGTCTGCTGGAAGAAGCACACTTTGCAAAAGAGAGGTCAGGTCTTTTGCTTTTATGCCAGATCACTGACAAAATTGGGTCAGACACCTATTTCATCTTTCTTTTCTCCTTATGCCCATTTCTCTCCGTTCTCCCCTTTGCTTCTCACCTCTAAAAAGATAAATTCTTTGATAGGTTCATTATGTATCCTCTATCTTACGTACAAAGCCCTTATTCTTTGACAGTATTTTGGGCCCTTTCATCTCTATGGCAGATACTACATGTATTTCTTAAAGATCATGAGTACTGTAGAAGTTGGGCACAGGCCCTATTCTATGAAGTCTATCTGAGAATTATAAGTAACTAAGCTGTTGTGGCTGTAAACCATTGTGTGCTCTGGGATATTCTAGGTCCAGTGCTAGATTTTCTCAAATGGTGGTGAGTATTAAGACCTTAATACCGTGGATTCTTATGTTTTTGAAGGTCTAAGCAAGTACCATAATACTTATTTAAATAACTAAATGTTATCATAAAAAATAAATCATAGAAGAATAGTAACTTTCTTCTTTTTGAGAAGTTGATTAAAGAATTGAAGTGAACTTCCCTGAAGCGTGAATTCAGGTGTGAGCATGGAAAGCCAGCATGTTACGAAGTTATCCTTTTTAGATGCAACTGTAGAAAAAGACTGTTAGGATCAGTATCATTGGTTGTGGTAAAGATAAGAAGGTTATGAAAGTTTCTTGAATTAGACTAACAGTTCAAGCAAATTTGTTGCAGATGAGATGGTTTTACTGTTCGCCCAACTGCAGTAATGGTTGTCAAGTTGTAGACATCTAAAGTACTCTCAATTATTATGACTTATTTATACAGTTACAACAATTGAAGTACTTTTTTCAGCTTAAGAATTTAATGACTATTTTAATATAAAAAATAAAAGTGGGATTTCAAATGATGTGCTTAGGACTTCATGGTCAGAACAAAAGAAAGAATAAGGTGGTAGCTTTCCAAACATCCAGTTTCTACTTAGTTTTCTTGAAACTGGGTTGGGTGTTCTAACTGCTTACTGCTACTGAAACAGGTTGTTTCCTTTTCCCGAACCCTATTCTCTCCCATATCTGACTCCTGCTGAAACCAGTTAACTGTTTTATCTCACAAATCCAGCAAAAAGGTGGTAAGTTTTGTTTCTTGGTTTGTGGGTTGAATCAGCTAAGATAAGTGTGAGGAAAAGTGTTAAAGTGGTGCAAAGGAAGAAATGAGAATCTGAAGGCAGGAGTAAAGAGTGGGGAAACAGCAGCCAGGCAGTGGATCAATCCATCAGTTTGTGGTTAACACTTGTGTTACCACCGTGTTAGACTGGAACTGGATGATTTGGCTTTGGAGAAGAACAGATTTGGTTTCTGTGAGAGGTGTAGACTAGAACTGGCTAATCTTGCTACAGCCCTCCCAGCCCTTGCTGTTAGTAGGAGCAACCTGTTGCTACTGAATATAAACAATGATTCAGAGGGAAAGAATTTTAGCAGATAACTAGGAAATCTGTAATAATCTTCCTATTCACCTCTGCCAAGCCCCATGTGAAATACCTGTGTGCTTCAGGCCCTGGGAATGAACGATAAGTATGTATGAAGAACTTGCATGACTTGTCTAAACCTCACTTCTTTCCAGAATTGGCTGGTTGAACTGTGAGCCCGGACGCCTGCATATAGGCTTGTTTATACTTAGTGTTTATACTTCATTTTGGACTGTGTTCATTTGTCTGTAAGCTGTGGTGATGGTTGGATCTGTTGTAGAGATGCAGTCCTTCCTTTAGCAAGGGCGGATCACAATGGTTAAGAACTGCATGAAACCTCTTTTTGCCTTTTCTGTTCAATTTGTGCAGGAAGATCATTAAGAGGATTTGTGCAGAGGATAAACTGCAGTGTCTGGAGCAGTACTTAAGCCAGTGGTTTTGTATGCATTGCTCAACTCCTAAAGGAGATTGAGCAGTGGAGGTAAGCTGATTGGAGCTTACTATCTAGGTAAGATCTAGGTAGTGCTCATAGGTTGAGGGAAGTAACTAAGTAATAGAGAGGAGGTGATACCTTTTCCGTATTACTTTGTTATGCAGTCTATAGATTGTGTTGGATTCCTGCTTCCTGTCAGATTGCATAACAAACTCTGTTCAGAACTATTTTCTGCTATCAGAGTCTGGCTAGGAAAGCCTCTGTTTATTCCATTTACCTATTTAATATTTTTCTTGATACTTCTCACATGTAAAAACATTCCCATGGTAGTCTATACCTTCTTCTTTTTATTCCTAATCATATTTCACACTTGATCTGATACATTCCATCTATGGACTGCAGTTTTGTAATTTATTAAAAAAGAAGGATCAACAATTACATTCTAAACTACTTTCTTATCCTTTCTTGAATATACTGCAGGTTACATTTGTCTGAGATAGGCTTTTGACGATAAATTTATCTCTTCAAAAAGCCTTTATATTGTGAGTTTGTAGGGGCACCTGAGATCTTGGATAGATTTTATGTATTTCTATATATCTAAATAGATAAACATATGATTCCTGATGGAGAAGGAAAATATCTTTTCAGAAGGGTCTGTTGCTGATTTAGTCCTGTCCTTTTTATCATTATCCATTAACCATCCTTCTGTGTTTCTGGAGTACCTACTGTGTTTCTTGCTTTCTACTTTCACCCACGTCTGAGGATCAACAAAACCTGTTTTTTGCTCTAACATTCAGCTTCAATTCACTATTTTATTCTGGTAGTCATTTAGCTTGGATTCTTGTTTAAAAGCTGGCTTTCTGAAATGTGTTCTTTTTTAAAAGTGCATTCTATATAAGTCAGTTCTGATGCAGCAGCACAAACAGCAGTCTTTCATGTCTTTTTCCTTCTTAAGAAAAGAGATTACTAATGTATCCATTGACTTGCATGTTTACTGCAGTGAAAAATGGCAGCAGCTATGAGACTGCAGGGACTTTGGAAGATTGGATTAGAATTTAACATGAACCAACAAATTAGAATGATCTATGAAAAATGGGATACAAGTCATTAAGGGCAAGTTTAAAATACTGCTTTTAAATTAAAGAAAAAAGGCAAATACAGAAGAAGGAATGGCTGGGCGTTCTGAAGTAGAAGATTGAGAGTTAAGAGCTGACCTTAAGACAACAGCATCATACACAAAAGTTCTAAAAATGTAACATTACAGCAGGATAAATAAATGGAAGCACTGTCATAAAACACTGTGTAAATCCCTCTGCTCAATTTAGGGTAGAAATGAAGTCAACAAGCTCCTTGTGCAGGTTTGGAGCCGTGCGCTTAATACATGAGCACAAATTTAAGTTACTTTACCAAGTTGGAGACTCCAGAAGACAGTAGTCCTGGTGGTCAGGACACTGGATCCAAGACCTATGAGGAGAGGTTGAAAAAGTCAAGGCTAATTTAATAAAGAGAGCATGTGCTGCTGCTAGAGGTCTTTTGGAACACCACAAACCTAATAAGCTTATGTTTTTACTGGTGGAGGCTGATGCAGTGTGGCTAGGGGAACTCTGCAATAGACTGGGAAGAGCATATGTCTCTGGAAGTTCCAGAAATGTCGTAAGACACACAAGTATGTGTGATCTCATCTTAGAGGAGAGGTGTGGTCTAATAAACTTCTGATAACCTTATTACATTTTATGATTTAATGTCTAGTTTATAGTTGGCTTTTTCCTTCCTCCCGCACTCTGCATTGGCTCTGTGTTGTGAATGGAGCATGAAGGGTACAGCTTTTTGCAAAAGATGCTCAGAAACAGCATAGAATCTCTTTCTGCAGATTATAGTAAGTTTATTATTTTTACAAGTTTTTAGCTAAAATATTTTTTCCAGTTGACAAAATTACTGTTGATGTTGAATACACCTAATTTTAAGCTTAAATAGTCCAAATGTAAGAGAAGGCTGTGTGGAGACCTCATAGCACCCTTCCAGTATCTGAAGGGCAGCTATAAGGATGCTGGGGAGTGACTTTTCATTAGGGACTGAAGTGATAGGACAAGGGGTAACGGGTTAAAACTGAAACAGGGGGAGTTCAGGTTGGATATGTGGAGGAAGTTCTTTACTGTGAGGGTGGTGCAGCACTGGCTCAGGTTGCCCAAGGAAGCTGTGAATGCTCCATCCCTGGCGGTGTTCAAGGCCAGGTTGGATGGAGTCTTGGGTGACATAGTTTAGTGTGAGGTGTCCCTGCCCAGGGGTTTGGAACTTGATGATCTTAAGATCCTTTCCAACCCTAACTATTCTATGATTCTAAATCTAAAACAGTGGCTGTAAATCTGGCAGAATTAAAGATGGTAACCTCCTGGATATGATTTGGATATAAATTAGTAATATTTTTATAATCCCTGGAAAATCAAATTTCAGATGTCATTGATAATCTGTTTCTAATGTCTGAGATTAGACTTTTAGACTAAACTAAACCTAAGTGTTGACAAATTATTTAAGGAGGCACTATCAGAGGAAATAGCCAGACAAGGTGTGTATTTTGTCTGGAATGCATTTCCTGCTTCACAAGTTCCTGCAGTTAAATAGGCAAGGAACTATGTCACAGTTTTTTTTTAATATGGAATACAGTGAGTTGGTATAGCCAATTCTGATGAAAGTATCTGTGAGTTACAGTTTTTTTTCTATTAGTATCATTTTAGATAAAATAGTCTGAAGGTGTAAGTCTTACCCGCTATTTGTTGTTTATTGGAAGAAATTGTAGCTGTCAAGGAGAAGATCAGGATGTGGCTCAATGCCAGGGCTATATCTACAATACAGATGTATTCCACAGTTGTTTTGACTTTGCTTTTTTTAGATGATGTAATCATATTACACTGATACGTTGGTACTTTGTTGTGTCTGTGTTTGGATTATGTTAAATG